ACTGAGACTACAATAAAAAGATCAATGGTGTCTGTTATTGATTGGTAACGCCCAGTAAGAAAATATATGAGCTAAAAAGAGAAACCTAAACACAACAACAAAAACAGACCCATAAATGTAATGTTATTAACATGAGAGCTGCATGTCATACTGAGAGGGGCTTTGGTCTGTATCATTTAGTTTTTAGGTTTTCTCTAATTATCTCAACTTTTTTATTATGATATGGTAAATGGACTTGAGATTATATAGCGCTTTTCTAGCCTTCTGACGACTCAAAGCGCTTTTCGACCGCATGCCACACCCATTCACACACTGAAGAAGTAACTAATCCCATTCATACACAATTCACTGTTAAGTGTCTTGTCCAAGGAAACATCGGACATGTAGCTGCAGGAGCTGGGGATCGAACCCTCAAACTTCCGGTTGAGAGACGACGATTCTAGCTCCTGAACCACAGCCGCACCGATACTTACGCTCGGTTTCTGCATGCACGTTTCAAATGGTAGCAGTTTAAAGTAATTGTAGTAAGCGTGAGTGCTCCAGTGTCATCAATAAGCACTTAAATCTCTCAAACATCAATAGATACATTTGAAAATACAGACCTGCTACAAAACAAGCTGATGGCTTCAAAAAAATGTTATTGTATAATAACTTGATTGTTGAGCAGCATGTGTTTGTTTGTGTTGCACGAGGGCTGATGAGACAAAACAGCAGAGAGAGTACTAATATGATTTAGAAGGCGGAAGGCCGGAAGCAGACAGCACTAATGCAATGGCTCCTGCGTTAAGTCCTCAGAGACTGACCACAGAGCATTGCAAACGCACGCAAATACACACAAACACAACAATGGAGATCAAAAATGCTAAATCATACAAACATGCATATATACAATATGCTTCCTAACTATGAATAGACAGAATCCTTGCCACACTAAAAAGACGTCCTCTGTCCTCCTCCTGAAATATCCTCCCTGCTGTCTGACTGGTGACAGAACACTGCTACACGTCAACTCCAATCAGAGTTGAAAGACAGGAGGAGGAACAGAGAGAGAGCGAGGGAGAGGGGATGCTTTATTCCTCACTTTCCCTGGGCGTTTGTGTTTATTCGGCTTGTCACCACCTCCTCGATTGGAGAGGACGAGTGCCCCGAATCCTTCAGTCAGCGAAGCTGGGGGTAGAATTGCCCGCACCCGCATCACATTAGAGACTCAGCACTGCCTTCACAATGGAGGGCTCGAGTATGAAAAATATCCTGTCATGGCCAAAAGGATAAATGCAGGAGAGAGAAGCAGATATCAGTGACCAAATTTGGCACACATTCAGTGTGTGCTCGCTTTCAGCGCTTAAAGCTGCAGCGCTTTGTTGTTATTTCCTGCAGAGCTGCTAAGTTGACTTGAAAAGGATTGTGCGCGTGTGTTTCTTTTTAGGCTTTGTCGATTTTTCTGTAGGGTTTTTTGTTCCACAGACAGCTGACAAGGATGTTGGAATAACCATCAACCACACAAACATACCCACACATGACACAATGTCACGCTAAAATAACAAGCTCTGGTAGTCAAGGCTACTTTTATAAGCTCTCTAGTGTGACTGAGTTGCATTTGGTTCTTTATAGTCAGATGAAACTGACACAGTCCCCCAATTTCTACTATCAGCTAGGCCAACACCAAACCCACACGACTTCTCCAATCTTCCAGCCTAAATCTATTTTCTCTATCTGATCCTTTACAAAGTAAAATTCCCCCAAATACCCAAATCTCCGACCAAGCAGATGTCCTTTGGGCTTTAATCTGTAATTCATTTTGGTCTTGATGGCTGGTCTTTTCCAGGGTGATAGATCCGTGATTAGTGGAATGGAGGCTGAATCTTCTCTATCTTCATGAAAGGCCTAATCCCACACAATGCTTGCTTGTGACTTTAGAGAGGATCCCAGTGAACTGAGCCTGGCCCCATGCTGGGAAAGGCCACTGCTGCGGGGCGCTTACTCTTTCACATGTACACCTCATTATGGGTGCTGGATGGGACCGGGAGGTGTCATTAGTGGCACACATCTGAGATTCACCGCTTTTAGAATATCCTGGAAGCCTAGCTACTAGCTGCTTTACAAGGTGCCTTTTCAGGTCGACTGATTTTACAGGCAGAATTTACAGACTTTATCATTCTCTGCTCATATGATGCTAATGCTGTTAACAAGATATAGTAAAAAACATGCTGGGTTCGGGGGAATTATCGCTGCAAGCCCTTAGACACACAAGTAATTCTCCAAATCCAATTAAGTGAGAGCTCTTAATCACTCAGTGGTAAAACAAGGATGTGCGATTACAGGAAAACAGATAATTCAGACACTATAATCCTAAATAATCTTGCAAGATAAACAAATAGTAAAATATGAGACGTAATCTTAAAATATCCTGGATTGTTTCGTTCTGTTCCCTGTCTTCGTTGAGTGTGTGAGTTTCTGCGAAAGGGTGGTGAACTCTTTTGAATTCATAACCGATAGCTCGCGGCTTATACACTGATTAGACCTCTGTCGCATTGTCCATTATCATCGCCTACAACTGTAGCCTAATAATCTCAAAAGAACAGTGTGACAGCACATGCTGCTCAATGTCACACAACAAGACAAGAAGTTCAAGACAATGATGCTTATTTTACCCCCTGGAGCTAAGTCAGCTAACAGCTAACATGGAGCTTCCATAAGATATTAAGGTCATCATGATATGATACACGCCGTACAATGACAAGCTGTGTCTTTGTTGTTTATCGGAAGCAGACGAGGAGGAGGAGGAAGGACTGTGTATGGGAAAAGAAGAGTGTTTCACTGGGAATGAGCCACTGAATATCCATAATCTATCTTACTATGAAAGAGCGCACTGAGCAGAAAGCAATTAGCCGCACATCCCATCAGAAAAGGAGGAGCAGCAGATACAATAAAAGATGAGCCCACCACCACAAGCTGCAGGGCAAGTTACAATTAACCTCTTTCTAACTCACACACACACACACACACACACACACACACACACACACACACACACAACACACACACACACACACACACACACACACACACACACACACACACACACACACACACACACACACACACACACACACACACACACACACACACACACACACACACACACACACACACAGTGTAGTGTACTGACCAACTATCCTACACAACGGCTGTTCTGTGATAAAGGTTTGGAAGGTTGGGCTAGCGACTGTGAGACCCAAACAAGCACTTGGGCTCCTGAGATGCTGGGTAACAATTAAGATCATAAGCTATTACTAATATTTCACTTTTTACCCATATATGTCAGTTGTTCTTTCTCTCCTCTAACTTCACTCCATTTCTGTCTATGTTTTCATCCAGATCTTCGTTCTCTCTAACTGGCCGCCTGGCATAGGTGGGGCCAGCAAACACAAGGTCACACACAGTCACACACACACACCACATTGGACACACACAAATGCAAGGTCAGAGAAGCTGTGATTTGGGGCCGTGTTGCAGGAGGCAGGTTGGTGAGGAGAGAAAGAAGAGTGAGGAGGAAGGGACAAGACAGAAAGAGGTTTGATGATGAACAGAAAATGATTTCCTTGCATCAAGCTAGAATTAATGTTCTCTCCCTCCATCAACGTCACTCTCTGATGATATCTGCTGCTGCTAAGAGTTAGGGATGGAAAGTGAATGAGTAATAGAGAGGGAAAAAACAGAAATGCAGGGAGTGTGTATGCCATCATGAATAATGGATTTTAGGTGCAGATTTGAGCCTTGTTTGACCCGTTAGTCATAAACTCAGTCATCATTCTGAAAGACAACCCTATCAGCTAAAACTTGCCAGACAGTATGTGTTTACCTGTACCATCAACTAAGATGTGTTACAGTGTGTATTCATTTGGGTATGTGTGTGCATGTCTATGTGTGAACGTTGGCCGGCTGACTACCTGCCCATGTCACCCTCCCCTCAGATTCCCATCTCTCCTACACGTTGCCCCCAGTAACAGGGCAAAGAGGAGAGGGGGGTTGGAGGGGTGGATGGTGACCATCTGTCAGTCGCCCGAAGATCAATGGAGCTGGAGGGGGAGGAGGGAGGAACGGGGTGAGGGGAGTGGTGCAAGGCTAAATATGTGGCCCACTGTGACCAGAGCCTGACTCAATATGAAGCCGTTTTATTTACCAACTGAAAACACACACCCTGCTACCCCGACTCACACGGCCTTTATTAACGAATGGCTGATTTTGATGCAAGCCAAGAAACGCTGAGGCTGCAGTATTAACATGTAACATGCTGTCTGCAGTCTTAACTACCCCACACATAGATGCATACAAGCCTCCGTGGACCTCTTACAATTTCAACATAATGCTCCTGTGCCTACATGTTCGTCGAGTGAAAGAAAAAAACTGTGAAAGCTTTAGCGTGGGAGGATGTAGTTGATGTTTAATAGGTAAATGTCTAACTGGCTCACTGTGGCAGTGGGTCATGCAAGACAGGGACAAAACACTCCTGTGTTTGCAAAATGAAGCAGCAGCAAAACAATGCCAGTTCTCTGGAACTCTTCATTCTGCTTCTTCATGGAGCACACAGTTCGAGTAAAAACCCTCGCACACATTTTCACAGATCCATATGTTCATTTTACACATAGAAAAATATTGTGTTTTTGAACGATATAGTGATGTAAACAGGGAATGGCCAGCTACAGAGCGAGAGCTCTCAGCGGCATGTAGTGAAAAAACATGCTGACATTATGCTCTGCTGCAATAGAGCCTCATTTAAAATTCACTGTTGATGCTGGAGCTCAGTGAGAGCATGGGCGAGCGGTTTGGGTGTGGAGAGGAGAGGATGTTTTTGTTATTCAGTGTACTCTCAATCAATAAGAAAACTGTTGTTGTTGTTGTTGTTGTTCAGAATACCACAGTACAGACTATCTCCCCACCTGAAGATGTTTGAACCTGTGTATTTTCACACATGAATTTTGGTAAATTAGCAGACTTACCCAGCATTTGACTGAAGAGAAGCTGCTCCAGGTCACCCAAAACAGTCACCACTAGCTCTGGGTCCACCTTCAGAAAGCTCTTATCATCTTCTCCCTCTATGCCCTTCTTCTCTTTCTTGTCCTCTGTTGACAGAGCTACGGGTCTCCCCTTCTCCCCCTCTCCTAGTTTCTTGCCATTAGTCCCAGTGTTCCCAGTGTTCCCAGATCCATTGGAGTTAGTCTTAGTTTGCTTGTCTGCAGGGTCTGTACTCTGGCCTGCCTCCTGGGCCTTGCTGATGGGCTTGACCTCAGCATAAGGTCCCCGCGGTTTACCAGGGGCAGGGATCCGACTCTGCTTGCTCACACTGGAAGTCACAGATGGCAAGCAGAAAGGCTTGGGCTTTCCCTGGAAAAGAGACTGTTCTGATTTTGACAGGGTCCGGGAAAGTGGAGGTTTCCCACCCCCAGCATGAACTGTCTTAGTCTGGCCTGGCTTGTTTATGCCGGTACCAGAGCCAGGCCGGCTGGCATCATCATTCCAGCGAGGGGATTGGTAAAGGTGTAGCTTCTTCTCAGCATCAGTGAGCACACATAGGTTGCTTAGTGATCGCTGCTTGCGGAGCCCGGACAGATTGGGGACTGGTATAGGAATAGATCCAGAGGCGGGCCGGTAGACTTTGAGCTCTGATGCCCCTGAGGGACGCGAGGGTCCCTGGGGTAAAGCGGATGGCTTGGCTGAGGACTTCCTAGAGGCCATTGCCTGGGCTGGAGTTTCCTTGCAGGAGACAGCAGCAGCAGCGGACCTCATGTCCAGCTCTCTGGGCTTAGCCGTCAAGCTAATGTTAGCCACATTAGCCTCCAGCATCCCTCCTGCAGAGAGCCAAGCAACAGCATCAATGACATACTCTGAAACACACACCAGAAAGACAGAAAAGGAGGGAGAAAGGGGGAGAAGGAAAGGTGAAGGAACATCAGGCCTGTCAGGTTTGCTCTATGTCTCCTGTGGATCCAGACAGAGGCAGACTCCTGACTGTGTAAGCCTGTGTGTTCACCCCTGTGTTTCAAATGATTGAGTGGGTTAGTGGGGTGGCATAGGCAGTCATCCTTACTCACTTCTGGAAATCCATGGATATGCAGATTTTTGTCCAGCACCTAAATCCACTCCCTCACAGCGTGTCTGCAGCTCCCTGTGCCACAATAGCCGCTGCTACAATAAAAAAACCCAGCACAGAGAAGCCCCTTTCTCTGTCTCCCTCACTGCTTCTCTCTCGCTCTGTATTCCCAACCGCTCGCCAGGCAAGCGGCAGCCGACTGACAGGAGAAACAGTTGCAGCAGCAGCAGCAGCAGCAGCAACATCCACCCCCCTCCCTCTTTTTCTCCTCCCTCTATCGCTGCTTTACTCGCTGGTTTGCTCAGTCAACCCCCGCTGGCTCATTCACCCTCCCTTTTCCTTCTTCCCCCTCTACCCTTCCCTCCTTTCTTGTTGTCTCTCGCTCTCTATACTCCCACTGGCTGATTCACTCGCCGATCCTCTCTCTCTCTCTCTCTCTCTCTCTCTCGCTTTTGTTTTCTCTCTCTAAAATACAAACTGCAGATTCGGTGCTATGCTACACACCAGTGACGAAGAAAGACAGCCAGAGAGAGAGAGAGAGAGAGAGAAAAAATGACAGGACGTAAGAAAGAAATAAAGATAGACAGGGGAAGGAAAGGAAGACAAGAAAAAAAAAATTCATATTGATGTCAGCATCATCTGACTCACATAAACCTAATCGTTAAATATTGTACTCGGAATTAAAGAACCACTACACTCACACATGCACATTCAATCACTCATAATCACATTAGCTGCTCTATTCATCCATTCACATTCAGATATTCTTATGTGCCCTAATCACGAGAGGCCCACCCATGATTTAACTGATTCAAATTATCTGCCGTGACGGCAGGATCAGCTTAGAAGAGGGCAACTGGACACACATTTACAAGTCCCCTAATACACAGTGGGAGGGGTCAGCCACTAATCATGGTTCAATTAGCAGCCAACAGACCTCAAATGATCACCACACAACCTCCCACCTGCATCATATTACTTCTCCACTCATGTACATGCCTCTTGTCTCATTTCCTCCAGACTTACTGTATGTCACCCCTCCCCCCTTTCAGTTAATAGATGCACAGGCTATTCAATTTGTCGGATACAGATTAAACACTGTCTCATCTATCTCACAGCACGACTAGTATGATACCTCGAAACACGTGTGCATGTGTGGGTTTGTGAATGAGTATTGTTGGTGTCTATATTTGTGTCTGTCCACCCCTGAATGTGTATCAGTGTGTGTGAGTGGGTTTGTCTCCATGAGGGTGTCACATTGATGAGACTCTCACAGAGAAGACAAAGCTCCAATCTAGGAACTCAGTTAGCTCTGGCACGTTTAAATACGTCATCTCTTCGCAGTGGACGTCCCATCTAAATCAAGACAGGAGAAACTCACACTCTTCTTCCTCCAACGCTATTTTACCTCGTTTTACTCTGTCTTCTTGTGTGAGCTGTTTCCTTTGCTGCAAAATACCAACGGAATCGATATCTGTATTTCCTCGAAACACACAGTGCTGGATGAGGATACGATAAGAGAGGGACATTAACAGAGATGTAGGAATAAAATCTCATTAGTCTTTTCCCATTAGAGGGAATCATGATGACAGAGCATAAAATAAACCTTTAGTCCAACATTAACGATCAATAAACTTGTTTGCACTAGGATCTGTATTTGTGTATTAATGCACCCTTCCAGGTAGCTTAACTGTTGGAGTTAGTGTTTATGCTCTGGGTGTATTACCGTTAGTGCACTCCACTCTTCTTTTGTACGTGACCAACAATGCCTGAAGCCATGATGTTATCACATCCCAAACTGTTAGAAGTCTTAAAATGCGCATGCTGTTGGGTAAATGCCCATGTTCCGTTACATTTGCATAAATTGGTTGACACTGAACCAGAGGACAAACAAGCGGGGTCCTGCTTGCTCAAACTCCACACTCAGAGAGGAACTTTCAAAACGGCTGAATTTTGATGGCCAAAAATGGCACATATTCAATCTAAAAGTGACAACAACACACATAGTTATTAATACAGCACACTTTCTAACAAGCCAGCATCTATCTGGCCTTGACTGAGAGTTTAACAAAGGAGCTCAGTAACATAACACGCATATGCTTGTTATTGTGTAGAGGCAGAAGCCATTAATTTGAAGTGCCTAGCTTTAATAAAGGGCCAATGTTAAGGTGGTTTTAACACACTGAGGCCAAAACTGTGTAGTGACAGTTATGTGGCACTTTCGGGGGCTGGTAGCAGGCCAGAAGTGGGTAAAAGGTGTAATTTAAGGCCAATAGGTGCTGTATGCCAGCTTTTATATCTCCCTGATGAGGAATTAAGGTGCGTTAAACAAAACTGACAGCGTACAAGGTAGGTTTGTGTTGTGCACAGGTTGCATGTGGGGCAAAGACACACGTCAGTGAACTTGAAAGCTGGTATTCACACACGCAGAGGAAAACTGCGCGTTGGCAGCACACAGCTACTTGTTTGTTCAAATACTCGTCTCTCTGGCTCCCCAGACTAATCACTTTAATATATGGCTGATGTAAACCTGTAATCTTACTCCTTTTCTACCTACACAAACACACACACACACACACACACACACACACACGCACACACACAGCATGCGGTCTGTGCGGGGTGTCTGACTGACCTGAGCAATATGGCCAGACATCAGAGAAACTGGCAGTTCCAGAGTGCGATGAGTGCCAGTGCTCTCAGTATTAGCCTACCCATTCATAGGAGAGGAGACCAACACATTCAGTACGTCACAAGTGTGTGTGTGTGTGTGTGTGTGTGTGTGTGTGTGTGTGTGTGTGTGTGTGTGTGTGTGTGTGTTTGTGGTAGTGCAGATGACCACAGTGGCCAAAGCAGCAAAACAGCTCCACAAACACATGAAGAAACTTTTAAGCAAAGGCGAGCGAAAGCCAGAGAGACAGACAGTCAGTCAGACAAACAGACAGACAGACAGGCAGGCAGACAGACAGAGAGGTAAAAAAAAGGCAGCTGGTGTCTGTCCTTTGACTGGTATATTTGCCCTAGCACCTCTAAACAGTTATGAACAGATTCTCCTCTATATTTCCACAGAGCATTTATTTGAAGTAGCTGCTAGGACACACACAGACGGACGTTGTGTGGTGCATTATGCACATGTTTACTAGGTTACACAAGGTCGCTTTGAAAGGAAAAGTACTGCAAGAGACGAAGAAAGCACTCATGCTTTCGATGTAACGATTGTATCAGAGCGCCTTAAACCTTTGACGGAGCAGATGGGATGCGTTCTCACGTTCACCCACTTCTTGTTTTGCCTTTTTGTGTCAGAGTAAAATTTTAAAAAAGTTGTTCTAAAGATGAAAGTAGTGTGAAAGGGCTGATGAAGTGAGAGAAAATGACAAGAGTGAGTCTGACTCATATAAGAAGATGAAGAAAATGTGATCAAATGGAGAAGGAAAAAACAGCAGACCCCATGACAGAATAGAAGCCTTAGGATGCTGCAAGTGAGGAAAAAGGAAAAGCATGTTAAATGATAATGCAGAAAAAAACACGATAAGGAAAGTGAGAGGAGGAGGAGGAGGAGGAGGAGGAGGAGGAGGAGGGGGAGGAAGAGGACGGCTGAGGAAGGATCTCTGAATGGGTGCCAGAGGAGCAGAGGAAGCCTGTAAGACAGAGAGGGGATATCCTGCCTCAACACTTCACCACTCCTGCTACGTTCGCTTATGTCCCTTAACTCGCTAACGCATGGGGTCCACAGGACACAGGGATGAATAACCAGACTGTGACACACACATCCACAAGGGTATACACACTGCATTTACACAATAACATGGCTATTAATGTCCTGTTTACACACAAAATACTGAGACGGCAACCTGATACATACAGTGTGTGGCTTCCGAGAGTGACTCAAAAGTGTATGTGTGAATGACAGAGGATGTTGTCCCACTGTGACACATCTTTGGTGGTCTCACTCCGTGCTGATGATGCACTAAATGAGTCATTGGCTTGAGCATTTGGGAAATTCAGACACTTAAAGGCTATCCGTTACAAATGTATGTGTATCACTCACACTAGGTCCTGATTCCGGAGGCACAAATGTTAATCCAACAAAAACACCATTCTTTCAGGGGACAAATGTTTCACACTCATCATGAGTCACACACAGCTGAGAGCTAAAAAAAAAAAAAAACACACCAACTTCCATCTGGGAAATATACCAAAAATTTCAAAAGAATGAGTATGAGTATTTTTGTTTTAAAGATATTGCTTTTTATATAAGCTCTCTTGTAGAAGTCAGTGTTGACATTCTTTGCACACTTCCCAGGGGTATCCCACAATGCTGTGCAGCCAAGGCTGGTTGCCTAGTTACAGCGTGGTGTGCATACAGCAGGGCTGGATATCATCAGCTCTACTGTTTGTGTGTGTTCATGTATAATTTTGCTCATGTCAGTAGAAGAACTGTGTATACATTTCTAGGTGAATATAAATGGATGAATGAAATCATCAACAACAGGAATCTTCACCCAACTAGTGTGCTGATTTTTGAGTGTGTTCGAGATCCTCTATGGGTTATTAATTTGACAAATAACTGTGTGTGCATGGGTGTGTGTCTCTTCCCACAGAGACAAGAGGATGTTACACACATGACTGACTCAGGAACTTGACTCCCTTGGTTGGGAGTCACCCCAGAGGTCAAAAAAGATCATGGGTGTGTGCACTCATCCACCCATTCTCACTTTTTCTCGGTGTTTCTCAATGTTGACATTGTTGTGAGCCTCGTACAGTTTGAGGAAATGTCCCTGGGCAGACAATAAGGCAGGAGGAGGAGGAAGAGACAGGAGGAGTCGGCAGCTCTGTCAGCTCTTATGTTGGTTTCTGTGAATGTTTTTCTCTTTACATATGCATATGCTTACATACATGTTTAAGACATTTACTTTCCTACACTCATGCCTTAACAATAGTCATCCCAGCACAAACAGACAGGCCATGACTTCAGCTGGTCCCAGCACTGGTCTACAGAACTCTTGACATGTCAAAGTTAGGGTCAAACATAGTGTTGGGGATGACATTAAACCCTAAATAGTGATTACTGCCCCACTCACTGGTGATGAGCGGGCACATAATCTAGAGCACGCTTATGTCTGATCATCTTCCCAAAGCTACTAAACCACTCATCACTGTCCGAGCGCCAACTCGGCATATGTCTCTCTGATTAGATTGGCCAAAGAGGATTATGCACT